ATTTCTATAGCTGTATATATATATTAAAGCCTATTGATCTCACCACCAAAATATATCGTGTATAATATCTATTTGGTGTGGCTCTATAGCCTCGTTTTTAAGGTAGTTTTGGTGAGGCCGCGCGCGCACTTTGTGGTCGCGCGCACTTTGTGGTGGGGCTAGTTACCCGAGTCGCCCCGAACAAAACCACAAGTCGCGATGATTCTTTTCTGCAGATCAACATATGATGGAGCAGGCGTAATGACACTGGTTGGTGGTCCTGTGGGTGATTTGGGTGTCTCCGCTGCCGGCTGTGGGATGTTTGTCGCAGTAGCCAGTACTGCCAACACTAACACAAAGATACTAAACTGTGGTGACATGGCGTTGATTGATGAGGTGATGTGATACATGACCATCATGTATTGTAGACGTTTGTGAGGCAAGGTGCCTGGAATCTTCACTGGGGGGTTGTCTGCCTTCGGCTACCCCTGTCTACGAGCTGAACAGGTACGCTTCAGCCTTGCCGCATGCGACCGCCTGGTTGTACGATATTGGTCCAGTCTAGCGCCACCAATAAACCTACTTGTATGCGTGACACTCTCCCACAATGGCACATTGGTCCCGCTGCGCCTCGCTATGGAAGAGATGTTAGCGACACGGCAACGATCGCGTATGATATCATAGGCCTGGCTTGGTTCGAGGCGTCTAGTAGACGCCCCTGTCATGCCAGCGCAGGCAAAGGAGTACTGGCGGTTATATAAGGAGAGACCCAGGATACCCCTCAGGCTGTCAGGGACTCTTCATAGATTGCAGAAGGACCTAGTTGGCGTATTAGTGTATGCAACTGTCCAAACGGAGGAGCGGCAGGTTACTGATTGGTATTTGTTCGAGATAAAGAGGGCGCGGGCGGATATCCCGCGGTTGACACATCAGTCTAGACTACCTTATCACGGCAAATCTTTGATTGTGAAGCAAAGAAGCGTCCCTTGGCAAGGCCGGCGGCTCCCTATTTTCTTAGCACTTTGGAGTAGGCTCGTGAGAGGTGATTACAAATAAATATATGGCGATTACCAGAATAGAGATGACCAATCTAAGCCTATAGTACAATCTAGTTCCCATACCTGGCAAACCCTACCTTGTAGCCCACATTTGATCGTTACAAAGTGTATGGCTCTTGCTTCCAAGATACCCTCCTCTCATCTCTCATTCGGTCGAATCTAATGACACTTTGTAACAGAACCTGCGTGCCCAGAGCGCAATCCTCTTCTTTGCAGAATTCGCGTGGGTTATGACTAACACCTTCTCGACATGGCACGAAAATCATGCTCGTAGGGCAGCGTTTGCTCGTATATACGCTATCATGGCCAGCACCAGATGTCATTTCCATGGCGAGGTTAGGGCCAACAATGCTGCGTGCAGATTGGCTGACAGCAGTAACACAATCCACATGGAATTTTGTTGCCGGGCTGTCAAAGTCCTCTACAATCTCCACGGTAAGGGGCAGGCCTGCTGTGCAACCGTAGTTGGAGCCTTCTACGTCTTCGCCTGCAGCGATCTTGGGGAAGTCGCGAAGGATCATCTCCTTGAGCTTCTGAACCGTTTCGTCTTTTTGTGCGCGGATATCCAGACTAAAAGTAACTTCTCCTGGAACTGTGTTTGTGGAGCCAGGCTTCAAGTTCAATATGCCTGTCGATGCTAGTGCGGAATTTGCAGTGGCGAGGCGATGAGAGTGTAGTATCATCTTGCTTGATGTCAGCAGAGCGTCCGCTCGCGACTTGAGATCAGTGGTTCCGGTGTGCGTGTCTCGACCCTTGACTTTGATCGTGAACCACTTGTATGCCTGGACCGACGTGACGACGCCGACTTTCTTGTTCGCCATTTCCAGTAACGGGCCTTGTTCGATGTGTAGCTCGAAATGCGCTGCCATTGGTGTCGCCTTGTAGCTCGCCGGTGTACTTCCCAGGTAGCCGATCCGCTCAAGTTCAGATTTCATGGTCGCCTTTCCTGGGTGGATTTCACGCAGGTTGTGCGCAGTCTCTAATGGTATAGATTCTGCCCACACACCGCTGGACACCATGGACATGGGAAACCGGGCGCCTTCTTCATTCGTCCAGTTCACAACACCGACAGGATACTCTGTCTCGGTCCAATTTTCAGCCAAGACCCTCAACATCTCGACGCCTGCAGTGACACCGAGAATACCGTCATATCGACCGCCAGTGGGCTGGGTATCGAGATGGCTCCCAACAAACGTCGGTGGCTTATCATTTCTCAGTCCCGGTCTAACGGCGAATGTGTTTCCCATCTCATCCACGGTGACTTCGCAGCCCAGCTCTTTTGTAGTCTGGATGAACCAGTCACGTGCAGCCTTGTCAGCATCAGAGAGTGCAAGCCGGGCCATTCCTGTTTCTGTCGGCTTTCTGCAACCATTAGTCGGCTGCGAACTCCTAGTGGTTCTGGTCACCTACTCTCCCCACCGTTCGCCTATGCCCCATTGGCAGGTATGATGTATGTCGTCCATCAGCCTTGCCTGGTTGACCTTGAGATCTCGCAGCATATCGTCACTCATCTCTTTGGTCCTGACCTGCCATCGCGGCGAATTGGCAAAACCCCTGACATGTTGGTACCCCACTCTCGCTCTAATACTCGGTCCCGTCCTCGAAGCGGGGTAATGTCTGCATGCGCTGCGAAGAGCAGCTGGAATTCTGCTAGTCAATGGAGCCATTGTGAAGTCAATGTAGATGAGGGGAAAGAGGAAAGAAAGGCATTGCAATACGCGGCATGAAGGCCGGTATGGAAAAGCACCGTATCGCATGATAGGCGCGCCATGTTGTGGGGAAGACGTGGGTCGGAGAGCCGATAACAGTAGCGCGATATCATCACGCGTTCTGATATGCAGCTTGTCCGTCGGCCAATGCCGGGCATTTAGGTGGAATAGCCGTGGAGCCTCAGTTCATATTTTGGCTACAACAGCAGAAAGATAAAGGCAGTCCTCATTCAGATGTGCATGTTAGCATTTTCAACGCATGTGCACAATGAAGCAAGACTAAACATGGATGATTATCATGTGAGAATGTAGTATTGGGTATCTATCAACTAATCCAAACGCCGTATCATGCAGCCAAAAATCATGTTGCATCATGGAATCCCGTCAATGCAAATGTGTAAAAGAGCTCAGACAGATCGGCCTTTTCCTTTTCCCTCGACTACAGGCTTCGCATCCTCCTCGGAGACATCGTCTTCCTCTTCACTATCGCTCATGAACTCGTCGTCCTCGTCGTCCCAACCAAACATAGTTCGCTGCTGAACAGGTTTTGATACAGATGCTGTCGGTTGAGCGTCCCTCTCATCTTCCTCTTCTGAGCTCTCCCTTTGTGCCATGAACATCTTCTCAATAGCCTCGCGGGTCTTGTTCTCGGCCTCTTCCTTGTCTTCTACCCACTGCCCATCTAGACGCGCTGTGCCTCTGCTATGTTGCAGTTCTTCCTGTTTCCGCTCGGTACTGGCCACAATGTCTTCCAGCTTCTTTCGACGTTCTTCTTTTTCCCTCTTCTCCATCTCAGGCTTGATGGCCAGGTACTCGGCAAGTGCTTTGGCCTCGGTCACTGTGCGTAGGCGACGTCCGTCCAGGTTGCGAGAGGATCCGTTGACATCACCCTGCCTCTTCTTGCGCGAGGACATGCGACCACCTTGGGCGCGCAAAATGGATCCGAAACCACCCTTTCCACCACACAAAGGCACAGTCAGACGCAGCGGGAGGAACGTGTCTGCTGGCGAAGAAAGGAGTGACGAGACGGGGGCCTCGCCATGGCAGACTGAGCGGCGCGCGTTTGTGGTGAGGATGTAAGACGAGTTGTGTATCCAGGGAGCGCGTTCGTAGAGTGTTTCGTAGATGGAGCTAAGAGGCGCATCCTTCTCCGCAGCAAAAGCGATGTTCTGTCCACGGATGCTGTTGACGATGACCGTCACTGGGGACTGAGTGGCAACGGTCATGGCTGCTGTTCGTCGCATATGGCAGTTTGAGTCGCAGTATAGTCGGATAGTGGATTTTTTGTGATGCACAGTGCAGATCCAAGTCAGATACCGGCGTACTGATGTGTGCGCGTGTAGTTGTACGGGTGGTGAAGGTTGTGTTGGTGTGAAGCAGACGGGCGGCCAGGCGCGAGCACTTAGCCCAGCCCAGGGCTTGGCAGCATGTGGTCATAGCGTTCGCTTAGACTAGTCGCGCACCCGTCTATCGAAATGGCCGACGTCTACTCTGCGAACTTCTCCCCATCGACCTTCCCAACCAGTTCAAGCATCCCGCAGTCTTTTCGCAAACCGTCAAGATGCTCATTCCCAAGGCCGACCGCAAGGCGATCCACGAGTTAGTCTACCTTTGCAACCGTCGTGAGAAGCGGCGCAGTCGAGCTCTGAGTTTCGCACGAAATATTCCGACTTGATCCTGAGCCTCACCTGGCCCTTCCGTGCATTCAATTGAGCAAGCTGGCTAACATTGGTGTGTACAGGTACCTCTTCCGAGGTTAGTATTCCCACGCACTCGAGCCATGGCTATGGCACAACTATACATTTTTGCGGCTTTGCTGCACACACAAGGATAGGCTGACACACGGTCACCACAGAGGGCGTTTTGGTCGCAAAGAAGGACTTCAACCTCCCCAAGCACGGAGAGATTGACACCAAGAACCTCTATGTCATCGTTCGTATGCCCCTCTTATGCTGAAATGCCAATGCTAACTCCAGACAGAAAGCTTGTCAGTACCATCGGCCACACCGCAATGCCGCATTCCTCTAACAAGCACCAGGCCAGTCTTTGACCTCGCGCGGTTACCTCAAGACCCGCTTCTCATGGCAGTACTACTACTACACCCTCACCCCCGAGGGTCTTGACTACCTCCGCGAATGGCTCCACCTCCCCGCCGAGATTGTTCCCCAGACCCACATCAAGCAGCAGCGCTCTGCTCCTCCCCGAGGCATGCTCGGCGGTGACGACCGTGAGCGCCGTGGCGGGGGCCGTGGTGGACGTGGCGGTGACCGTGGCGAGTACCGCCGCCGTGATCAGGCCGAGAAGGGCGAGGGTGGTGCTCCCAGCGACTTCAAGCCCGAGTTCCGTGGTGGCTTTGGACGTGGCCGTGGTGTCGCTCCTGCTTCTTAAGGCAGTTGAGAGGCTTTTTCGGAGTAGGGCTAGATATCGTTTCATCTTCATGTCGGGCTTTACTGCATAACAAAATGGGTTCGGATACGGCGAAATGACCGGATGATACTACGAATGGATCGCTTGTCTGAGTTGCGATGTCGCAGTCTTAGATGACCGTGTTCTCAATGATACCCCATACGCTTCGGTGACTTTTAGCGTGTCTATTCATGGTTGCAATTTGTTCTGCATGCAAGAATGGGGAGGATTTGGTGTGAAGCGTGTCTGGTATTCGTGCGTAACTGTAGTATCCGTCAATGTCCACCTTTCCCAGGCTTCAGCAACCCATCGCCGCTCTTCATCCACATGGCCCCAACCTGCTCAACACTCAAGCCACCCATCTCCTTTTCGACCAGTTTCGTCAAGAAGCTCAATCTCTGCTCCAACTCGCCCTTCTCGTCCTGCCCACGCACACCCTGCCCAACCCTCGTCCTCCCCACAACAGCCACATTCCGCGTACTCGGGATCCTCAAATGCTCCTTCTCGACCTTATACCCCGTCTCCTCGGCCAAATGGCAGATCCACGAGCACAAGCTCGCATACGCCGACGGCTGTTTATTCTTCTTCCTAGCCGTCTCGGTCGCCGGATCCGGAATCACATGTCTCGCATGCACTGGGGCGCGGAACCGCGTGCCGCCCAGATCATGGCTGCAGCACGGTATCGCGATAAAAGGGGATGCATTGAGGTATGCGAGCAGCGGTGTCCAGGGCGTGAGTTCATCCGCATGGTTACTTATGATGAATGTTTTGGGCGGGAAAATGCCGTTGTGATGGGGTGTTGTTGTGTGTGATATTTCCGTGCTTGCTGTAGCTGCTGCAGTCGTGAGAGAGCAGGGCTGGATGATAGCAGGCACAAGCAGCATTTCCCTCAGCTTCTGCGCATGCGCATCCGGAAACGTATCCCAGGATTTCCGGTGGCGCGCGTCGAAGCCCCAGCCCGGCCAGCCTCGCGCGTTGAGTATCGAGACGAGCAGGCCGTTGCCACAGCCTATGTCTACGAAACCGGGGAAATTCTCATGTGCTGCTGCTGCTTTCTTGCTGTGGGCGTATGCCTCCGTCATTTCTTCTCCGTTGTCTTCGCGTGTAGCGGTTACCGCACCGCCATACATATCTATCCACAGCTCCTCGAGAAACGCCGCTATGCCCAGATCCTCAAAGACGTGTTTCTCAGGCGGCGTCTGCTCGACCCACGCTTCAATCAGCGCTTTGGCATATTTCCCCTTCAGCTCCGCATATGTATCCTGGAACCGCTTTTGCCCGATAATCTGGTCGTGGTGCACGCGTTTCTTGTATCCGGCTTGTCGCCCTCGCGCGTGCTTGTGTATGACTTCTGCGAGTTTGAGCGCCGTCCGCTGTAACCGGTTGTCGAGCGGCTGCTGCGGAAACAGGTCGTAGTAGACTGAGAGCACGCCTGCTGAAGCCACGTTTTTTGCTGCTATTCCGGTCCCTGCTGGGAAATACGTGTACAAGATTGCCAGGGCGCGGACTTTGGGGTGGTAAAACGGGATGTGGGCATGTCCATTGTTGGGATCAACATGCGGCATGTAAACGACCATGTAGCGTTCCGCTTTCACAACCACCTCTTCTTCTTCTTCTTCTTCTTTGTCGCCATTTGTAAGTTTGATATCCTCATTAGACACCAACAAATGACACGTCTGCATCAACGCATCATCCAGCTTCGGATTCCGCGGCACCAGTTTCCGCACAACCGTATACTCGAGCGTGAACCCCTCAATTCCACCATCACGCAGCAGCCGCGGCCGACATTCTGGCCGCAGATGCTTGGTGATGCTCGCGAGGTCCTCGGGCGTCTTGGCGCATGGGTTGAACGTAGCGTCCGTGAAGCTGGTGTAGGAGAGCTCCGCACGCGCGAGATGCGACGCAGTGAGATTAGGGTTCTCGAGCAGATTGCGGGTGACGGAGAGGAAGTGGGTGGGAGCAAAGTTTGCGGGCGCGCATTGGATGAGGGTCCAGAGGTCTGGGGGGAGTCCAGACGGGATTCTGGGGGAGGTGTGGATGTCGTAGGGTGTGAATTTGTCGCCTGGTGTTGTTGGTTCTGACTCTGCTGTTCCTTGCTCTTTTGGGTTTATTTCTACTTCCTCTTGCTTGTGCGTTGTTGTGTTTTCGTGATCAGGGACTTTGGCGTTTTCTTGTGCCATGGTGCGATTTCTTCATCTGGAATGATGCTTGTCTTCGAAGATGTGACTCATCTGATCTTCGAGGAAGCTGTGCAGAGTAGGGTACCCGGAGTCTTGTCGAGTAGCAATTATTCCAAGGCCTAAATGCCCGGGATAGCAAGTCGAGATGTTGGTGTTAGTGATGAAGAGGCGAAGCGAACAAATTGAACTTTAGCCCCTCCGCTACGTATGGTTATCATCCCTATGTACAGCCCGAGCGTGCAGAGCAGAACTAACATCAGAACAAGATATGCCGCTTTTCCACAAACTGGTCTTTCCGGGACTCTGAGAAACAGCATGCAAATTCGAAAAACGCAGCATCCTCTCAATTCCATCATTCGCAATCCGACACAAAAAAAACAAGTCGTGAAACATTCCAATCAGCATACTCTATCGCATCTGCCTTTGCTCGCTCTATATATATAAACACCCAAGCATCTAATCCCCATTTCCGCGCATTAGACGCTGAAAAGAAATCGTTACAAATGCCCATCAGCCAAAAAATGTCCCCATGCAACATCCCTTTACCTACCATAATAATGTGCCATTTCGAGGCCAGCCCTCTTAAACCCACACTTGACATAGAAGCCCTCGTTTGCCTCTGAGCAATCGAGAATTGTCTTGTAGCAGCCGACTTTCTCGGCGACGTAGTCGAGCGCCTGGATGATGCGCAGACCAAGCTTCTTGCCCTGCTGGTCCTTTGCGACGGCAATGTCCTCGATGTGGCCGACGAAACCGAGCTGGTGGATGAATTTGCGCTCGACGAGGAGGCCGCCAGTGCCGACAATGGCGCCCGAAGAGTCGGTGATGCAGATGAGGAAGTATTCGTCGTTGCGCGCGGACATCCAGTCGTAGCGCTTGTTCCATTGCTGGGGGAGCTGGTTAGCATGCTGTGGTTCTTGAATGAATGCGTACATGTGTTTTCGTGCTGGAGAGGCAAGAAAGGTGGACGCATAGCCGGGGCATTCAACTTACCTCTTCAGTAATGTCGCCAACAGTCGTCAGCACACGGAGTACGTCCAGAAAGCCATTGTGGTAGTCCTTTCGCTCGAGCGGCCGGCAGTTGTAGCCTTCGGGTAGTTGCCTGAGCACCTCGGGGGATATGAAGTCGGTGCTGAAGAGCGGGCCTTCTCCTGCTGCTGCTGCTGTTGCCATTGTTGCTAGTGGGGTGGTTGGTCCGGTGTGTTGTGTGTTTCTGTGCCTCGATTTCCCCAGGTCACAATTGCAATTGAAAAGCGAGACGGGTTTTCTCAGCCTCACGAAATATCTAGCAGCAAATTGGTGCAAGGACAAGATAGCTCCACGGGGATGAGAGGGGTGGGAAAGCGGAAGCGGAAGCGGAAGCGGGAAGAGGGAAAAGGGTGAATGACGGGCGTTTGCGTGGTTGCTTATCGATAAGACGGCGGTGAGAAGGTCGTTGAGGCTGAAGGGAGCTCAGACCCCGTTTTGCCATTCAGGAACCAGAAAAAAACCGAGGGGCTATATTTAGATGGTATTCCTCCACAACGACGTGGGCTGAGCATATTAATAACCTCATCGAGAAAGTTACTTTAGTGGTAACTATTACTATTATCATCTTTAGCAGCATACTTACGTACACATCCACATGCAACAAACACACCAACTACCAACCCACCTACTTACTCACGCTCATCGCTTTCCATTTCCTTTGCCGACGCCGCCAACTTCTCCTTGTGCTGCAACCCTGCGATCCTCACCAACGCATCTCTCAGCTGCGTATTCTGCCGTTGCAACAGCCCCATTTTCCTCTGCAGCTTCGCCATCTTGAGCGCCAAATCCTCGTCTACAAAGCCTTCGTCATGCCCGCTATCTGTTTCCATGGCAGCAGCAGCAGCAGCGCCGGCGGCTGAAGAGGAGGGGGGGTCCTGCAAGCTCTCCGGCGTGGCAATGGCGCCGGTAAACGACTCAAAGTGCGTGCCTTGGGTCGTGAGATAGCCGCTCGGCAGCGGTTTCTGGCGTTCGCGTTCTAAATCTCGGAGTTTGAGTGTGGGCGTGGCTTGCTGCGGGCGCGGCTTGCTGGGCACCGGTAGCGAGTAGTGCTCTTTGATGGGCTGCGTCGAGGAGAGTCTCGGTGCGGTATGCAGTGGCGTATTGATGGGCTCGGATATCGAGCGTACGTGTGCTTCATGCCCGCTGGTTATCTTCTGCACGCGAGGATCCCCACAGGCATGAACCACTTCTTTGTCGTTGGCCGGAGCGTAGTGCTGGGTGTGGCGCTGGGCTTGCGGCTGCGGCTGCGGCTGCGGCTGCGGTGCTGCAACAAACTCGTCTTGCGTTTGGCGCGGGCTATCGGTCGGCACGACGATTCGCAAATGCCTGGCTCCGGCCGCCGTTTTCATTTCGCGAGTGCAAGCCGGAATCGACGGTTGTCTTCGCACTCTGGGCAAGCCCTCTTGTTTCGAGTCCGCCTGTGCGGCGTCCGTCTTCTTTTCCTTCCTGATGAACATCTTCAGACTCTTCTTTCGCGATGGAACGGCGGGCTTGGGTTCCGGCGGGGGCCCAGTATTCTTAAGGTAAAAGCTGAGATCGTTTAATCCCAAATCCGCGCTTGCTGTGAGGGCGTCGTGGCTGAGAATCGGGGGTGCCAGGCGTCCTACTTGAGGAGACCCTACCTGGCCAGCCTGACCCACGTCTATTCGTTTCGAGAGGCGCTCCTGTGGCGCGGAGACATTGTTCGCTTGAAGTGGTAAAGACTGTGCTGGCGCTGTCCGAGAGTTTGTACTGTCCATGGACAACGCAGATTTGACGTGCAGTGGGAAAACCGAGTAGGCAAGGCGCTTTGGACTTCGCTCGGGCAACGCCGGTGATGGCTCTGGTATCTCCAACCCGTGGGCAGGAAACGCCAGAATGTGTTCTTCTTCGGCTGCTCCACAAGGCAGAGACTCTGGTGGCTGCGGCAGAACAACCTTCTCCGGATCGGTCGAATACGCATGAAACGACGTCTCATATGTTGGGCCTGGCTCGTCCCCCGGGCCATGCAAGTACTCCTGGATCAGTCCAAAGATGCCCATTTCCCCCTTTTGCGCATGCTCCATATGCGGTAACACTCTCTTGAGCGCATCATGGCTGGCTTCGCGTCTATGCTTCGAGACCTGCGGCTCCAGCTCTGCATTTTGCGCGCCGATAGTCGGGCTCGGAGCAGTAAGCTTTAGCAGTGTTTGTCGGCGCTGAAATCTTATATCTGGGTCCTGGTCGATAGATGAGCTCGTCGCACGTTTGGTACTGGCTTCGCGGCGAGCATGTCCGGAGCGCGACTCGAACTTGAGCGCCTTGATCAAACGAACAGACGACGACCGTTGCGGCAGTTTAAAAGATGGCCCACATCCTTCTGGCGACGACGGCGGCGTAATATCCTTGACCTTTGGTCTCACGGGTGCCACTGGGAAGACAGAGACGTGGTACTCTGCCTTGTTGTCGTCGTCTGCCAAAAAGCCGCAGCAGTACTGCTGTCCCCTGGAGCCCATTTTACCATTCACCGACTTTGCGCGGCCGAAAATCCGGGGGCGTGAGTAGTTTTCCCTGGCAGCCGTCTGCGACCGTTGTCCGTCCATTACTGGCTTCGAGCCTCTCAGTTCAAAGTCGCGCGGAGTGTGGTTGAGAAAGGTGCCTTTGGCTCTCTTTTGAAACCCAAATTCATGTTCGACATGCGCCGGGGGGTATATGCTGGGACCAGTCGGCTGGGTGCCGGCGGTAGATGGGCGGGTTATATTCTCGTCCTGCGTCGAAACCGTTGATCTGCTGCGCTTGATCGACTCGCCTGCTGTTGCTGCTGCGCCTGACTGAATGCGCGGGTCCTCAAACGCCCCTCCGTACTCGAGGGCACTCCACCAGGCATTACCAAACATGGAGGCTGGGGGGGAGCTTTCGATTTACAGGCCTGTTGTTACCGTGGGTGTGGGATGGCTATTTGGGTTTGAAATTGGGTCCCCGGCAACCGGCGTTGCAATCAAACAAAAATGTGCGGGAATCTGCTGAACTCTCTGCTCGTGCCAGTATCTGAGCGGCTGTGTTGAAAAAAGAGCACTGTCCCCTGGCGGGCAGGCGGTTGTGCGGAACAGGTACGAAAAAAAAAAGAAAAAAAAGAGCCCAGGTCACTTTCAGCAGCCGCAAATGTTGCTGTACTTATCTCCTAGAAAAAAAAAGAGTGTGTGTGTGTGTGAGAGAGAGAGAGAGAGAGCGCAGAGACCAGGCTGCAACCGCAGCAGGGTTGAGACGAACTGACAGCCAGCGGCGTCAAAATCGGCCTCATCGACTGGGAAAAAAGAACGAGTCTGACCGGCAGCTCATTCGCGTCTAAGCTTTTTTTTCTCTTCTTTGCACTTGGATCCCGGAGCTCCGGTTCAAAGAGAGAAGATAATCATTCGGTGCAATACATGGCGCGTGGAAATAGAAAGAGGCTAAGTAAGTACAGTAAGTAACGATCGGTCTTGTCTCGAGCTTTTTGGTTCATGGGCCCAGCCCGACGCGATGCCGTGGTCGTACTACAGTTGGCTTTTTAAACCCCCCCCCCCCCGGCCCAGCCGCACGCCATGTGAGAAACGAGGCTGCTGTCCGCAGCAATCTTCATAACATAATCCACAAAGTCTTTTTTCTTTTCTTTTCTTCTGTTTCTCCATGAAACAAACAGGTTTGGAGTGAAGAAATTGGATGCGACAAAAAAAGAAACGGGGGCGTTTTGACAGGCACTGGTTGCTATAGTAGGGGGGGGGGAGGGGGGAGAGAGGCACCTCGCAATGAAGATCGCATTCTTTTTTTCTTTTGCAATCAGAACCAAAAAAATCATGATAATAATAATTATGAATTGGACTTTACTTTACAAGTCTCTCTCGACGGCCATGCTACATGGCTTCTTGTCGCCCTCGCAGCGCGTAGCCTGCTTTGCAAGCAAGGGAAACAAGCAAACCATCCTGTGGACAATGTGCTACTAGCTGATAACGAACGATTGGGTGTGTCCATGCTGTGTGGTACCGTCGTACGCGGGCGATTGGCATCATGTAGCACTAGGAGAGCGAGAGCGGCGTACGACGTTACTTCTTCCAGAAGCGAGCAAGGAGGCTGTCTTGTGCATACCACGCGTCCACGCGAGAGACGCTGGAACATGTTGATGCCAAACGAAAGCATGCCAAACGAACCATTGAAATGCGGTTTGGAACCTGCTTGTCCATGAATGAAACTGAGAAAGAAAAAAAAAGAAAGCCTGCGCGCACGACTGCTGGACACAGGACACGGGACACAGGACACGGGAAACACCATCCTCCCCTGCTTCTGCTTCTTCATGGAGCCCTCGATACGAGCCTGGGACGACGTACAAACTCAACGCCGGTAGATCTTGTGCGTCGTAGCATCCGAGCAGAGAAAAAGCAGTCATGACCCAGGTTTCACACGCCAGCATCAGGTACGCATGTCGATCGTCGCCAGCCAGAAGCTGAGCCCCACCAGGCGCTATTTCAAGCTTCATGGCTGATCACACGCAGGTTAGACAGCGGAGCCATGTGGCCCCTTGGAAAAGCAATATGCTATCAAATAGCTAGATAATACATGGTAATGCCACTTCAACGCCGGATAATGCCAATAGAGGTTGCCAATCGCTGTTTGATGCACAGTAAGAGAAAAAAAAATCAAATCACCCCTCAACGCTGTATCCTCCATCTGGTCTTTTGTTTCATCAGCCGGTTCGCGGCTTCTTGTTTTTAATGAACGGATTGGCTGGCTCCCGCGGACGCCTTCGAATTTTAGGTTTCGCCATCGACATGCCGCCTATAACATCGGTTGGGTGGGGTGCGGCCACGCCATTTGAGCCACTGCCTGCCGACTCTTCTGCAAGGGCTGCTGGCGTTGAACGGCCGCTGCCTCCGTTTATGGTGTTCGAGGCAGCATCTGATGCAAAGTCATCCATCTCGACATCGCTGCTTTCGAGCTTCAATCCATCCATGCCATTGGTCTCCTGATCAAGCTTGCGCTTCGTATGTTGCACCAGCGTCTGCTCGCTCTTGATTTCCTGCTTGATCTCTTGCTTGATCTCCCTCGCATCCGAGCCGGACGAGGTACCCGATTGATTGCTTGCCGACCTGCTCATAGGCTCAGACTTGACTTCAGTCTTCACTTCTTGCTTAACCTCGGGCGTGGGGCGGTTAGCCTGTACGTATCCCTCCTTTGGTGCTGGGAACTTGCTCGAATGCTGGTTCAGCATACGGGGCACATCGTTGTCGGTAAATCGGTTCCTCTCTTTGGCGTTGACAATAAGCTTATTCCAGAACTGTCCTCGCATGAGCGAGTCTGAATTACCGAGAACCCAGAGAGACGACTTGGCACGCGTAAGACCGACGTTCATACGACGGATATCCTGAAGGAAACCAATGCCACCCGACGGAGACGCTCGCACACAGGAGAAGATGATGACTTCGCTCTCACGACCCTGGAAAGCATCCGTCGTGTTGAAGTCAATGTCTTCGATGATGGTTTGGCCATACACCTGCATGAAACTCTGCTTGAGTTCGCGCAACTGACTCTTGTAGGGCGTAATGATACCAACTTTGCCCTTGAAGTCGTAATCAGGGTAGTCGGAGGTGAGTCGCTTGTACAACTGCATTGCGACTTTGACTTCGGCAATGTTGATGAGCGAATGACCCTTGGGCGCAGCGGCCTGCTGACCTTTGACGTCGAAGAAGCGATACGGCCCGAGCAACATGCTTTGATGCCACGGCCGCTTGCGAAGGCCAGCCATATCGCCACCGTCCAACAGTCTGCCATCGTAGAAAGTCTGACTGGGGAACAGACTGATTTCGGGGTGCATACGATATTGCGTGTCCAACAAGTGCACGTCGGCTGGATGATTCTTCTGCATACGAACAAACAAACTTTGCTCGTATTGGAAGCGCGCCGCTTCTTTGGAAAATACGGTTGGCGGCAACTGTTTTGGATCTCCGACCAGGATACACTTGGCGCATCCGTACTTGAGAGGAATGAGAGCGCTCATCTCAACACACTGTGCAGCTTCATCAACGATGACGGTTTCGAACTCGATGCTCAGGCCCTGGAACATCTCGTGACCGGATCCACTGAGTGTTGCGCAAATGACGTGTGCCTCGTTTAAGACTGCCTCCTGTGCCCTCCGTCGATTGAGGTCGGCGTTACGGCTAGCAAGCTTCTCGTCGTCCTTGACATTGTCAATCTTCGTTCCTAGCGCAGTCTTTTGCCTGCGCAAAGCATTGATGTCGTCGTCCAACTTAATAGCAGCTTCACCCTTGACCTCGCCAGTGTCTCGCTGCTGGTAGGCTTGTTTTAGTTGATCGGATATCTTCTTGTGCTCCTGGAAAAGCTTTTGTGTTGCCTCTTTGTCGCTACCGTCCGAGGGATTGACACCCAGTCGCTTGTTGACAAGTTCCTCAAGCGTCACATCCTGCACGCTGGCCTTGATGGCATCACCTCGACCTAGACGCACAATGTTGACATTGCGCGACTCGCCATTGAGCGTCTTGATGCCGTCCTTGAAACGCATCACCAGCTCATCGACGGCTGCGTTACTCGGTGCACAGACCAGCAACTTCTTCGAGGCAGCCTCTGAGCGTTGCTGGCCAGGAACGGAAATGCTAGTACCACGATTGCGAAGGCTATCACTAAGAATGGCACCAACAATGGCAGTGATTGTCTTGGTCTTTCCAGAACCTGGAGGACTGCGGAGAGTCAGCATTGCACGAAATCATGTATGTTTGTTGTGACCTACCCTTGAATCAAAGTGAACGCATCATTGTCGATAGCAGACTTGATAGCCTTTGCCTGTGCAGTGTTGACGTTGTAGTTGGAGATGAGTGGCTGGAGCTGAGTATCCTTGTAAGTGAGCAGGGGAGAGGGCTTCGCTTTGATAATCTCGTCACAGAGATCGTAGTACTGAAGACCCTTGAGCGCACCATACTCACGCTCCAGAGGCGTAATCGACTGCAGCTTGGTGCCCAGTAGTGTGTTGTTTGGCTGCAGCGCCGAGTTGAGCGGGTTGCCTGGTACGACGCGATATGATACTTCAATGTGCTGCTGCTTTCTCTTCACACGGAATACCCTAGCCAAGCATGTCGGCTCTTCGGCAGAAGGAGTCTTTGACTGTGAAAAGAGGATAATGTCTCCTTCCGAGATGGACACCTCCCGGTTCTCGACATGTGTCATGGTACTACCAATCTCCTGGAACATGTCGACCGCAGCCCGTGACGTAATTCGTATCTCATATGGCCTGGCTTGGTTCTCCTCGCGGGCTTTGACGAAACCTTGCCACGCTTCTAGAGTCAGAAGTGGCTCAAAAGTATTCTGGTAGTCGTTGGGCGTGCGGAAGGTGTTAAGGACCTTGGAATACTGCTCCGGTCTGGACTTTGGAGGAAAGTCGCCTTCGTGAAAGTAGTTCCAGCCGAGAATAGTGCGATGTAGGCTGCTGAGGTCAGGTGCCAAACGAGCACGCATGTCCTTGGCAGATCGCTGAGCCCGCTTCTTCTTGGTTGGCATCTGAACCTTGACTTCATTGACAATGTTCGTCCTGGGTCCAGCCGCGACCTTTTCCTTCTTGATACCAAAGAGATCTTCATCGATATCTCCCTCTTCCTCTGATGACTCGTCGGACGAATGCATCAAGCCTTCACCCTTTGCAGCCTGTTCCTTGCCCAGGACGCCCAAGCCTTCAAGACCAGAACCAGCTTCAGCAGTGATGCCCCTAGCCGCTTTGGCCTTGGCGATTGCAGCAGCCTTTTCCCTCTCGCGTTTTTCCTTGTCCAATTGCCGCTTACGTTTGAACTCAGCCTGGGTGGCATTCTTCTTATCCTCGGCTGCCTTCTGTGCAGCTTTTGTCTCCGCTTTCATCTGCTCTCGCCGCTCCTGGAATTTAGCAGAGCCGGCCGTCATGCTAGCAAGCAACTTCGCCTTTGCATCGGCTTGTGACGGCACCGCACCAGGAGCCATCCATTTGCTAATGGAGGCTTGTTTGGGCTTAACAGGCTCTTCTTCTTTGACGAGAGGACGGCCAAGATGCACTTCCAGTGCCTGTTGCAGTTCTGCCTGTTGCGTGTCGCTGAGCTTTGCGCGCACGTCTCCTGAGAGGACACGCTCCATATACGAAAGTGTGTCTGCATCGATTTCAATGGACACGCGACGTAGGCGCACAAGGAGCTTGCTAATGAGCGTCACAGATTTGCTAGACAAGAACTCGTCACGGAGGCGCAGCCATCTTGCCAGGCCCTCCATGGCGTTCGCAGGTCGTGCCAACAGCTCTTTAAGCAGCTGCGTCTTTGACGTGTTTTCCTCGTCGTCATTGGAAGCCGGCTTCAGGGCAGTCGCAAAAATGCTGCATTGGTCAAACAAGACATCGGCAAACTGCATGGTGTCTCTGCAGAAATCCATCATCATATGCTTGTCGTAAAAGCCCAAGTTGCTCCAGGCTTCGGTCGTGGCAAATATCATTGTGAGCGAGTCCCATAGATTCTCCCACAAATACATGGTCGCTGCGGCGTCGTCCGAGTCGTATTCTCGGCCACGCAGGATACCGTCCTGGGTATTGCAAATGATGTCAATGATGTCGTTGCATGTCCTGATCATACTGGGCGCGGGAGCAAAGGCTTTCTTCAGTCTGACCTGCCGGACAGAATCCGAGATACCTCGCACCACATTTCTGTAATGAGCTTTCAGGATGTGCTGGAGGGCCCCGCGGCGCTCTTCCTCTCCACTGATGACCTTCAGGAGCTCGATAGCGGAGTTGCGGGTATCATCAATAGACGAGAACATGAGAGAAACGATTGCACTCGCTGCAGGCTGTTGCCCGAACAGCGCTTGCAGCAGGTTGGGCTCAAATTCCGACATCTTTTCCACCACATCCGTAATAGATTGAGACAGCAATCTGAAGCGATCGTTGAAATGACGCACTGTCGGAGGTACCTTGTCTACGCCCGACTTCATCTGCAGCTGCTCAAGCCCAATGAGGCCCCTTCCAGCAATGAGCATGTGTGTTGCGAGTTCCAAGCTGTCGGGGCCTATGGCCTTCAAGACCGTCTTCCATAGGGGACTCGAGGGCGGCGTCTCGGTGGGTGACGGCTGCTTAGCAGATATCAATTGTCTCTCAATGATCAGAGACTGTGCCTCGAGCTTGAAAGCGTGCTCAATCACCGAAAGCGTCAACTGCATATCCTCTTGATTCCTGTTGTCCTTGAAACGCTTCAAGTTTACGACAAGCGATTGGATAAAGGTCGATAGTACGTCAAGCATGCTGTTGACCGTGGGCTGACCGACAAACTTGTCAATTGTCTTGCCTTCGCCCATTTTGCGAAAGGCGTAGTCTAGGACTTTGAGTGCTTCCTTGTAGCAGTAGTTTCGAGAAGTTTGAGGGTATCGATCTGACTGGAACCGCGAAAGGAGTGCCTGGGCAAAGGGTCGCACCGCTGGACCAAGATTCGCCAGCTTGATAGAGTCAAGGAAAGGCGGTATCCAGCCAAAGGCGGCATGGAGGTTGTTCATGCTCTGCTCGTTATCTTCCGCAGCTGCCAAGAGGAGCTGGTTGAAAACAGGACTGTTGAACACTTGCTCCACCACCGTTGCAATGGATGGCGTTACGGCATTCATGCCGTCCCAGTAGTCTACCGGAGACTTTTCAAGCAGCAGCTTCATGGTCGCAATCAAGTCCAAGAAGCCCTCGGACTTGAGAGAAAGATGGTCAAGCATCAGCCGGTAAAAGTCTCCATCAAGACCTCGCAGCGATTCTGTGATGAGGTCCCTGTCCATCTTTGTGACTATGAGCCGGGCACCACTCCAGAAGAGAGGTACCATGGATAGGTCCAAGTTGTACATTTGAATCTTCATCATGGCACTTGTGACGTAGTCCCGCACAGCCCAATCCCACTCCGACTTTAGCATGTTCCGCTTAAAAGTAGACCACGACTCTGTCGCCCATCTTTGACGCCGCTCGACCCTGCTGAACAAGAAGCGCGTCATGGCTGGAAGGTAAGTCTGCACTTTCAATCGCTTCTTTGTCTGAACCATGTCGAACGGGGCGTCAAAGTGTTTTTGGAGGAGCTCCTCATTCCGCACCAGGGCGTCGCAGCTCAGGGCCTCGAAGAAGCCATAGGTGCACTCGTTTGGCAGCAGCCGTACCGAGCGTGTCTTTGGTTCCGCTTTGCCCAGAATCTCGGTCGCCTCGTCGAGTGCTTTGTTGATGCGTTCCAAACACTGGTTGTCCACCACCTCGAGAAACGGGCCAATGTTTTCCTCGTCGTACGAGTCGAGCAGACGCGTGCGCCATTCCACCCTGGATTGATGAAAGACCCTCACACAGACATCACAGCTCTGCATCAGTTGATTGAGCCGGCTGATGAGCCATTCCTTGTGCGGCGCTGCTTCCTCCCCGTCGAATGCCAAGATCTCCGTCGCCTTGAGTGCTGCCCATTTGCGTTCCTCGGCCGCCTGCAACTTTATCCTCCGGTCTTCCAGCTCGGCGGCATCGGTTTCCGGGGGGTACGCGGCGACATCTTCGGCATAGTATACGGAGCCGTCATCGCCCACGCGGGGGCAGAAGAGGTGCTGGTCTTCGGGCAGCTCTCGAAGCTCGCTGTAAAACACCGAGTCAGCCATGGTAGTGCTGATGGCGTAGACTAAGAGCGGATATGAAACATGGTGGAGAGATGGGATCGGGAGAGGTGAAGGCCGGCGAAATGAGGTTTGGCGCGTCGTTGCACTTACTTGATCTTCTCGAGGATTTCGGCCATGGTCTCTCACCAAGACGCTCACTTGGGATGACGCCCAGCTGACAAGTCCCTGCGACACACACGGGCAAAAGCCTCAATCCAGCATTGAGCGGCCGCCGCGTCTCTGCACGAGTGAGCAAGGCGATCTATCTGCGCGCCGGTTTCTATCTAATAGAAAGAGAAGCGCTATCTATCGTGCCCGAAACCCGGCGCACACGCTACCAATGCCCGGGGTGCCTGCCGCAGCGGGCCCCCAAAAGGAGAGAGAAGGGCGGGAATTGCGCAAAGGGGCGTTGCAGGGAGTTCAAGGGAGCGTCGGTGAGAGAGGGCGTGGTCAGTGAAAGAGGTGAAGGCAACGGTGTGTGTGTGTGGCTTTGGGGGGGGGGGGTTCGGATGGGAGCAGGAAGAAAGGTACATGACGGACGTCCATGCATCAAAGATTCCCATTTGCAAACGCGCGACGCGGCTCTAGCGCCCCACGTCCGCGTCCCAACATGCCAAGCCCATTACCCTTCCTCTTTGATCCCCACAGCAACTGCCCCCATGCCCTGTTCTAGTTTAACTGAGTCGTCTGGGATGCGGTTGGTAGAAAGCATAGGGAGAGAGTAATGGAGTAATAATGGTGGACTTGAGTTGAGGTTTCCCGGACATGACAGCACGCACGTGATTCAGACAACTCCGGGTCCTTGAGCAACCAGAACAGACGCCGGCCGATCTTTCCAGGCAGTACCCGTACCTAGCGATAAGTATCACGATATGAAGACAACAATTGGCGCCCTGTTTGTAACACACGCTGACCCCATTCCAGCCAGGTAACGCGAAAGAAAATCCCAGCAATGAGGAATATCCCGGTCTATATTTACCAGCGTGCTGGTTACACTTGTTCTATATACTATCCGCGCCGGTGTAATAAAGAGAAAGGGGAAAAAAATAGAACACATGAATCAGTGAAAGACACTATATCAAATTAGCAGTAGCAGCAACCCGGCCTAAGTACATCCATACTCTGATCGCCTTCCCCACCGTCAGAGATGCGGGTAACCTGCTAGGCATATCCAGATGGATACCCTTATCCCCCACATGTACGCCCCACCCAAACTCAATACCCCTCATAACACACGCAATATATGTACCGAACCCGACAAAGAAAACGTCATCCACACCCTTGTGCGACGGTGCATGTCCATGATTCAGGCCAGCTCCATGACTTGTATTTCTGGTCTTTGCATCCATGCTCCGAGTGCACATTCCATGCACCAAAGTTTATGTGTATACATCCAGTGTCGTCTGTATACTCTGCTTCTCACGCTCAATCTCAACAACAACGACATTGTCATCTTCTTTTTCAAGCGTCTCCAGGCGGAACCAAGCAGAAGTCAAGGCAAGTCATGTAGCTGTGCATTTCCCACGTAAAGTAGACTGGAACATGTACATTCTCTCCAGCAAACACATGCTCATTCCTGCTCCCGGCAGTGCCATTCCTCCATTACTGTCGTCTTAACCAGTGACTTAATTCCCCATCGCGAGTAGCAAGAAACGGCTTGGTCAAAGTACACGACGACGATGACAACAATAGAGAACCATACGTTCTCTGTTTCTCTCCCTTGCTCGCGCCCTCACTCTAGCAACAACCTCACCTCATCGTCCCACATGCACACCCATCATTGTACTACAAACCACAAGCCCACATCGACAAACATGTAACGCATGCAATCCAAGCAAAAATGTCTCTCTTCAACCACAATCGCCCCACTACCACCATGACCGTTGTATACTATCAAAGCCTCGATCCCCCCCTCCCCTTCTTCTCGAGTCCCTCCCTGTTACATCCGCTTCCCCCCGTACCACAAGCATCCAATTCGCACACTATTTTCCATATTTTTTTCTTTTTTTTCAAGCCTTTTGATTTTTTTTTCAAAGCCGAGCGGCAGGAGCGGCAGCGGCAACAAGACTCGGCAATGGGGAAATAGGAAATTGTGAAATGTGGAGCGGAGGAGAGGGAGGGACGGGTGTGACGCGATTGTTTGGCTGTCGAGGGGGCTTGCTATGATTTCTTTTGTGTTTGTTCCTTTTCTACGAAGAAGCGAGGGGGGAAGTAGTGCCTGTGTGTGCGAGTGCGTGTGGGTGGGTGGGTGGGTGGGCTGAGAGCGGGCCGATGCGAAAGACGTCTTACCGGGCGGACAGGGCCCTGGGATAGGAGGTCGAGGTCGAGGGGAGGGGGGAAGTGGTTGTGCAGCAAGGGTAGTGTGTAGGGGGGGGGGTAAAAAATGTAGCTTCATACCCGCTTTTTTTTATTATCATCTTATACATACTTGGACACGGCATGGCGCCCCGCAGTTGAGGGGGAGCAGTGGCAGTGGCAGTGTAGGTGTAGGGTAAAGTTCCAGGATGCGTGCAGTGGCTGGGCATGTCGCAGGCTTGGAATCGCAACGAGGGGTAGTGATCGAAGGGTCAATGGGGGGCACGCACCCTGAATAAGGGCAGCACGACCAAACGTTCCACACAGCTGGTGTTGGGCGGCAAGTTACTTCTCCCAGAAAGGCAGGTTCGGGCGACAAAACAGGAATCAACGCCCAGACCGAACTAGGCTGATGCGGAAGTAGCGGCTCATCATCCTGGATACTCTGGATAACGAGAGAGATGAAGAGCGACGGAGAGCGATGGAGAGCGATGGACAATTATCGTACTGCATTCGACCGACGCCAATCGGTGGGGAGAGAAATCTGGTCTAAACAGTACCTGCTAAATGTGACACGAAAATGCTAGAGATGTCGAGGCGAGAGCACAAGGAAAATGAGAAGATGAAAAAAAAGCAAACACCACACCACGCCAATATCCGCGTAAGTAAGACGTGCAGTCGTCCAGAAAATGTGCAACTGCATTCCTCTTCAAACATTGCGTGCCCACATGATATCATGCCACTGCCGCTACCACTATCGCACATGCGAATCCGCATCTCATACACCGGCGTAAGCGCTCGTTGAGCGACACCGAGATTACTTTTGCCATTATGTGGGTATCCATATCCAGTTACAATGCGCCTTTCGAGGAGTGACCAGCTACCCGCTCGGTAGCCTCTGTGTATATTACGTCTAGCCCAGCTTCTGGTCCTGCGGGTAGTGACCACCGGGATGGCGGGGCATGCCTTGCTGTGCCATTGGATACTGGTTTGACTGCTGCTGCTGTTGCAGATAGCTCTGGTAGTGCAGAGCCGCCTCTGGCGTCATGTAGGCTTGCGGCATGGCCTGGTTGTTGGGCGGCATGCGGGGCTGGCCTGGCGGCACTTGGGCGTGGTTGTCCTCGGGCGACTCGACCGTGTCGTTGTCGACACCGTTTGCATCGCCGCTAGACGGCTCGGGGGCGTTCAAGCAGGCCTGGGGCGTGTTAGCAATGCGACGCGGCACAACGGGGGGCAAAGGGGCGTGGCGTGTGCAGCGTACCTGGATGAGGTTCTTGCCCTCTGGCTTGGTGACGAGTGGTTGCAGCTTGGGTGTGGTGAAGGTGTAGACGAGCCCTGTCTCGGACACGACGAGCAGCAGGACTTGGGTGCCGGTGAGAACCGACAATTCGTAGGCCTAGCATGGGGGGAAACGGGTTAGCAAACGGCTTCTGCGCGGTAGATGCAGCAGGCAGGCAAGCAAGCAGGCGGGCGGGCGAGGGGCGTGCACTGCAGAATATGCGCGCGCGCGTTCTCCCTCGTTGCCTCGCTCCCTCGCTGGCGGGCGGGCAGGCGGGCAGGCGGGCAGGTGGGCAGGTGGGCAGGCGAGCGCAAGAAAAATTCACAGGCGAAAAACGCACCTTCTTCATAATACCGGCCTTGCGCTTGGAAAAGGTAATGTGGCGACGCGACTTGTCCTGGATGAACTTGATCTCAATCTTTCTTCGCTCGCGGCCGGGCTTGTCGTCGTCATCGTCGTCGTCGTCGGCCGCGGCGCGCGCACGCTTGACGCCGCGGTTCTCCATGCCGAGGGCGCCATTGCCGTCGTCGTGGACGTTGGGCGACGCGTTCTGGTCGTGCTCGGTGATTTCGCTGGCCATGGTGGTTGAGTTGGCAGAAGATTGGTTACCCGCAGTGTTTGGCGGACGAGGGCCCTAAACTGGATGCGGCGGAGTGTGGGGAGTTGGCAGGCGTTCTTGCGTGGTTTGGGCGGGCTGGCAAAATGTTACAGAACGAACTGCAGACAGGTTGAGTTGGGTTAGACTCAAAGGTTGACCTCAATAGGAAAAGGAAGCGCGGCCTGTTAAAAGATCGGGGCTGGGTCCCTATGTGATGGCGCCGCAGGAATGGCAAGGAAAGGTGCGCGGGGAGGCCACGCTCGGCCGCACAGTGCTGCCGGCGGGAAAGCGCTAATTACTCGGCGCGCCGTGCGCCAGGGAGTGGCTGGGGGGGGGGTGGAATGGTGTGCGTGCGCGCGCGAGGGTTGCAGCCTACGCGTGACCTGGGCGACCGGGGGGTGTGCAGTGGGGGGGAGGGGCCAGCGAAGGACAGGGAAGCGCGGCGAAGGGCAGGGAAGGGAAGGGACGGGCGTGTGTGTGTGGGCAGGTGCGAGTGTGAGGGAGGGAAGGAGCGGGCGAGCGAGGGAGCGATGCGAAGGGAAAGCCGGCCACCAGAAACAGCGACGCGACGAGACGAGGGCGGCGGCTGCTGCTGATGCTGATGCGCTCAACTCTATGTACGTACCTCGTTGCGGCCACTCTGTGCTATGTTATGCCTATCTCTTTCTTGGTTGGCTGCCTGGGCTGTCCTGCCTGCCTGTTTTGCGCGTCGTCTCGTCTTCTCCGTTGGCGCCCTGCCTCACTATCTTTTTTTGGCTTCGCTCCCTGCTTTTTTTTTCGTCGCCTCTCCTCTGTTTGCACGCTCACAGACAGACGCGCACGCACACCGAGGCAGACAGTGTGTGGCAGAACGGGCGGGCGAGTTGCTTTTCGCGGGCGCGCGCCGTTGGGAATGGGGTGGAGAGACGGGCGGGAAAAGGTGGTTCAAGTTACCCTGGCTGGAGCTTGTGGAGCTTGGCCGCCGGTATGGCAGGCGCGGGACACGCAGGGACAGACGGAGTGGTGCAGCTGGGTGTGTGTTATAGCCCGAGAGCTGTCTTGAGAAGGAAAGGGACGAACGGGATTGGGAATGAAACGGCGGGAGTGGTCAAGTATTTCTCTGGACGGCTGCTTTGGCTGCTTTGGTGCGGGCAGGCCGTCAACTACCCACTGACAACTGGGGGCGGATGCCGCTTGAGCGCGACCCTGGTCACTGCTCTGAATCGCAGATCGGAAGAGGCCTCGCTGTGGTTCTCGAGACGGGCGTGTGCGAGCACGAGCACGAGCGCGACAAACGGGCACGCGCGCCCCCAGGCCGGCGACGACGGCGGCGGCGAGCAGGACCGCGACGACGATGCCTGAAGCCGCGACGACACGACACGACACGACACGACACGACACGACACGACACACGGCACGGCGGGCGACGGGGGGTGTTGCGCGAGAGTGGTTTGCTGAGGCGCGTAGCCCTTTTCTGCTGGCCTGGGCTGGAGCTGTCAGGTCGCTTTTGGCGAGCAACAGCAACGGCCTTGCCACATGAAAACACGGCCGTCCGTCTCAGGCCGAGGGCGGCGCTAGACGCCAGCTGCGCACGGTCCGCGGCCTGCAATGCCCGTCATTGGCCGGCCGCCCGCGCTACGCTGCAAGCGGCCAGGCGGGCGGTCGACTGGTGAATGTCGGCTGCCTGTCTTCGGATCCGCCATCTGCGTGCTGCTTGTCCCCTACCAGCCAGGCCAACCCTGCCCGCGCCTCCCCCAAGCCCGCCGCCTGCGTGTGCGTGCAGCAATACCATTAGTACGTACGTATGTACCTACACACGCTCACCCACGCTCGCACACACACTCACGCCCATTGACCACACTGGCCTGTCTACACGCACGCCATTAATCTACCGCCTACCAAGGGGTGCGTGGTGTGTGCTGCCCAGGGCACACTGGCCACCCACGCGCGACTGCCTCGCCCCGTGCACGCCGCCTGCCTGCCTGTCTGCCTGTCGCCCAGCAGCCACACACTCACTCCCTCCCTCCCTCGCGCCCTCGGACGCCTCCATCCTCAGACACGATCCCACTGTCACTCCATCTGCCAGCCTGCCAGCCTGCCACTGCGCCGCGCCGACACCAGCGACATGCCAACGTCCCGAGGCCGTCTGTGTTTCGACCCCGTGGTGGGTCCAGGATTGGGAAGCCGCGGCCTGCATTGCTTGCTAGCCGGGCAAGCACCACCCTTAGGCTCCTTCCCCGTCTGGTCTCGTTTCGCCAGCTGGCCTGCCTCGCCCTCTGCACTGTTGGTGGCGCCTGCAGCTTCCGCCCGCTGCCTGCCACTAGCAACTAGGACTACTCAACACCACCACCACTACCGCCCACGCCCACCCACACGCCCTCACCATCTCTCACACACGCTCGCCCGCAGCCCGCAGCCCGCACCCACTCACCTAAACGCCGAACGCCGCCGCCGACGCTCGTGACCGAGGCTATGCCGCGGCTCCATTGTCCCTGGTTAACCACGCATGTACGTACACACTACTAGTACCACGACTACTTGTAGTGCCGTGCAAACCCTCTCGCTCTCGTCGCAGCCCTGCTGCTGCTGCTGCTGCTGCTGCCGCCGCTGCTGCTGCCGCTGCTGTCCCCGTGCCGGCCCAATGCTCCACGCACCTGTGGCGCCTCCACGTCGCAGCCGCCAAAAGATGGAATCATCATGCCCGCTGCGCCCTCTGATTGGCCGCCCGCCATGCTCCAACACTACTGAAACCACACACGCATCGTCACCCTCCCAACTGCGACGCGCCCTCGTAGAGCCTCTTAATGCTCAACGTCCCCGTGTGCCCCGTGCCATGCATTTTCTGCGCGACAAGCTGCTCTTGCGCCTCTTCTCCTTTCCATCTTCCTTCTCTGTCCAATTTTTTGCTACTTTCTCTCCTTCTCGACGCTCTTGACCCCCCCGAGTACGCCGGACGACTTGGCTTGCCCTCTATTTCCATTCTCTGCCTATATAGAAATATCGTTATTTTTTTTCTTCTCTCGTCCCGTCCCAATCCCCTCCCTGCTGCCCCAGTCGTGCTACAGCGCACCAATACCGCCAAGATGCCCACCAAGCTGATGCTGTCCTTTGTGGCCATGGACTTTCTCTTCGCCGGTTGCGGAGGGCTGTTGCTAGGCTTCGCCCTCATGTCTGAGCAGTCGATGCGAGCCACGCCGACAGTGGACAATGTCACCAAAAACCTGTTGCTCGGCCAGTGTCCTTTGACAGGTACGACGTCTCCAAGCCCACCATGCGAGACCTTGGCCGTGGATTCGATATTGCAGCACTACTGTGGCGGCCATCCGTGACACGCCGTCTTGCCCACCTGGGTCTTTTGCGAGAACATCAACTAACAGTGTATCCAGCTGGTGTCGTCAATGCAATCTTCGTCTTTGTCACATTTCTGCTTTCGCTACCCGCCCTTTTCCTTCCCAACAACCGAGGCTGGCTTCGTATTATGGGCTGGCTGGTAGTCGTATGTGCAACCTTTACACTGGGTCTCGGTGTCGCCATCTGGGTCGAGACACTCGGCACTCGTTCCAACCTCAACGTACTTTGGGGTGCCGAGACACCGCTTATTCAGAGTCTCTTGCAGCAAAAGGTAAGTTCTTTTTTTAATATAGCACTGCACTCGACACAGCCAATTGGCCAAAAGGCCGCAAATGCCTGTCTCAGTCTTGCAGCCATGAAACTCTATCTTGGGAAGCTGACGAGAGACAGTTTGACTGCTGTGGCTATTTCAACTCGACTTCGCCTCCCTTTGTCCAGGACCGCACATGCCCAAACACGCTCGTTGCCGCCCAAAAGGGTGGTTGCATTGGCAAGTTCTCTTCCTTTGCCAACAGCTACCTAGACCAAATCTTCACCGCCGCCTTTGGTATCGTCGGAATCGATACCATTCTCGTCCTCTGTGTCGCCATGGTCCTCAAGTACCGCACCGAACAGGAGCGTTACAGGCACATTGACGAGAAGAACGGTCTTGGCGGTCTGTAGACGGCCCTTTGACATGTTCACACATATTAGTGAAGAAAAAAAGAGAAAAAAGAGAAAAAAAAAGAGAGAGAGAGAGAGAAGAGTAGAAAGAGCCCATACGAAAAGACAAGACAGAGCACAAGGACGAGAACGAGAACGAGAACGGGAAAACGTCCTTTTATGTTGCAACAACAACAATCTTCAACGTCTCTTTCTCTACCCGCTTTTGCATATCCTTTTTTTCTGTTCTTTTCCTTTTTGATACCTGGTGAAATTGCCAAGCGAGATTATTAATGAAAAAAAAATCCCTAATAGTCAGCAGTGCTGATACAAAGGTATGGGTTGTAGTTTGTGTTATCTGGTTTGTTGGGGGGTTTTACCGGGGTTTTTATTTTGGTGTGTTTTTGGTACTTTCTTTCATGTACATAGAAGTGTAGAGAGGCATGATGATGGTGATGATGGTGCTAATGGACGAGAGTATATCCGCCCTATTTTTCCATCGACATGTATCAATCTGGCATTCTGGCTGTAATTATTCGAGATGAGTCAGTCTAAGTACGTTTGATTTCTCATCTCTTTTTTTTTGCGTTCCAAGTCTGTCTGTCTGTTAGTTGGTCAATCATAAGTACGAGTAAATTTAAATTTTTTATTTCCCCATGGATGTGCATGGGCATGCATGCATGCATGCATACATGGGGGGAGGGGGGGTCCAACACCTCTTTCTTTCTCTTTCTCTCTCTCCGTCTATGCAGATATCCCGATATCCCGATATCATTAGTACTGCTTTATTATGCATAAGCCGAGTTCCATGATTCAAGGCCCCCATCTCTCTCTCTCTCTCTCTCTCTCTCTCTCTCTCTCTTTTTTAGGGGGGGGGGGGGGGGGGGGGTTCAAGC